CGGTTAGTTACCCGGTTTTAGTTTTGTAATACGGGTCAGTGACCCGGAGGAGAAATTTTATACGGGCCTTATCTCTACTTCTATTTAAGAAAATATTTTAACAAAATTCTTTAGAGGCTATTCAGTTTAATAATTAAAATGAATTCAATTACCAGACCTACTAAATTTTGTTGTTGCTTTCCCTTGAAACAAGGTGTTATTCTTATATTTATTTATTGGCTGGCGAGTTACTTTTTAAAACAAACATATTTATGTATTTAACCATATTCATTATGTTAATAACTAATAGTGTTCTAAATTTTATAATCTTAGATTACATCAACATATGGCACTGTTGGAAATATAGCAGTTATCAATAACCCATAAAAATGTAGGTAGTATTTTGTAATTTATATATATATATATATATATATATTTCTATTTATGTGTTAATTCTTTTTTAACTTACTTTTAGATTATGCTACTGGATATATAGTTTACTGTGATTTAATTCTTAATATCATATTAGTAACTTTTTTTGAGCTTTTTGCGATTATTAATGAGGTATTATACTTAAATACTATATTTTAGGTAGCAATTATTTCACTTGACAAGAATTAACTGATTTTCAATGAGAAACTCTATATAAATTAGTGTTCTCTTTAAAAACATGAAATTTGATGAAATGAAAATACTTATTTTCAAAATATCAATTGTCATGCTCAACACTACGAAGTGAAGTGACATGTACACCTATAATTGTGATAATACTCTTAATTATTATTATTATTATAAAGTATACTTTAACATATTATGTAATATATAAGAAAAGAACAAATCTTATAAATATCTATTCAATAATTTTTAATTTTACTAGATGCATATTCAATTGTTACTAGGCTACCCTTTTTGAACTACGATGTGGTGGGAGTATTGATTTTTACAGATGTCATGGATATTCTTTTCTCGGTATGTTTTGATGTAATTTGAACTTGGTCAATTTTTATTGATAGTTTTTTTTTTTTAATATATTCTTAATAGATTCATTTTTCCTTGGTTATTTCTGCTATCAAATTTAATAAAGTTGAACCTTTAAAAGTTAAAATTTTCTTACATACCAAATTTCTTTAATTTGGTATCATTCATGAATTCAAAAAATAATCTGAATTTTTATGAAAATTTAAAAAGAAAAAGCCTAAACTGCAATAAGAAAATAAATATATTATATTATTTTCAATTCATTTTATACTGCATACGTATAACCACACTTTTATGATTAAAAAAATTACAAATATTGGAATGCATTTAGGTCATGAGTTCCTTCCTAGATCTTGTTCCTACTGCAGTTCCGGTTTGTTGCATGACTAATAGAAACGTTGTGTAATGCTTCAATTGCTTGGTAAACTTTTTTGATCAATCAGTATTTTATATTAATCATTTTAGATGGCGCATTTGAGTGCACTTGTTTTTTTGTAGTAATACAAACCTCTGAGACTAGATAACCATTGTCCCGGTAATGAATTTATTGAAAATTTAGCGTTTTCGTTATAGAATTTGATGTAGCACTTACGGGCTTAAAAGAAAAATACCAAGTTCCACAATGCTGATATGGATAAATACAATGTAGGATAAAATGGGAATTATACGTATACTAAAAAAAAAGTAATAATTTAATACATATCTGGAATTTGAATCGCATGTTGATGTGACATTACAAGTGTGAATTTTGCTAAATATGATTTCTTACTATATGAACAATTATCATACGTAGTAAATCTTTAATGAATTTATTAATGACCTCTATGGACTTTCTAAAAGTAGAAATGAACTTCTACATTCTCTACGTATAATTTTTTTAGCATTACTTTTGTTAAATAACTATTATAAATATATCAATTTTTACCCGCTTTTTAAGATTTTAATAAATTCTTTAAATTTATTTGGGTTAACATCAAAATGAGCTTTACCAAACCTAATCATTGTTGCTGTTGCATTCCATTAAGAATAGTGTAATTATTATAACGATTTTATGGCTGGTATGTTACTTTTTAATCGAATTCATATAATTTTAATTAAATAATTATATTTTAACGAGAATAATTTCGAATCCTTAATTTGGATCATTAAGTTCAGTTATCAGTTCTATAGCAGCCATCAATAACAATAAATAACCTATGTAATTACTAGTTTTTATTCATTTACTAAGTTTTTTTTTTTTTTTTTTTTTTTGATTAATTACTAATACTATTTATTAATTTACTTTACAGATGGTGATAAAGGACACTTCTTTGTGAATTTAGTTGTTCATGCCATATTATTGATAGTCTTTACTTTTGGACTTATCGTTGTTTGCTGTGCGGTATGAGATATATATTTAAGATAAATACATTAATGGTCGTAATAACGAAATCCAAAATGGAAGTAATAGCGATGTGCACAAAATACTTGCAATAAAGCATTCCTGACAATTATAGTAATCTGGGTAGTATTCTACGGTCTAGCAGCTCTTATCTCGGTACGTTGTTATTTGTATTTAAATACGTACCAATAATTCTAAATGAACTAATCTAAATAAACTAATCTGTTTCTCTACAGATCCATTTTGCCTTTGTTATTGCTGCTTATGCTGAGGCACGTAGAAGAAAATAATAATAATTCTAATAAAAACTAAAATCTAGAAATTAAATATTTATTATTGTACATAACACATTATGAATAATTATTATCAATAAAAGTCACCCATATATTTAATTTTATTTATTTCATTAATAATTATATGTTTATTAATAATCATACTAGCTATTGGAATCGATTTCAAATAATGTTCTCATAAATATTATCATATAAGGCGATTGAAATTAAAACCTCGTTTAACGTTATTTTTTAAAAAAATTTGCATGGTGAGAGGGGAAAAATTAAACAAACAATAAAATTAAACTAGGTTCAAGTGAACCAAACTTAGGTTCATCGGAACCGAAATCAGGTTGAAGTTGAACCTAAAGCTGATTAACCGGAATTTTTTTCAACTTTATTAATTGTTTAATTTTTGGAGAGAGACCTGTAAGTGAAGACGGGATAACGTTAAATAAAATTTTAATTTTCAAGTCGCCTTAATTAAATTATATTATTTCTCACTTTAAAAATAAGCATCGTAGCTGATTTTGAAAATTGGTTGATACTAAAATATTATTGATATTATTACGATTTTTAACAATTTTTTACGTAATAAGTAATAATAATAAAATTTTGTACAAGTTTGTACGCAGTATTTTTTTATCGCGATTCATTCATTCTATATTTAGAACAGCGGAACTGATAAAGAGTAAATGTACCGGGTATGTAATGTATAAATATCTTCTTTTGTTTTTTTTTTTGTTTTACCAGCCCGATTTTTTTCATTTTATAGAACAGTTAAAAAAATCTTTCGGGAATTTGGTTTATGTTACACATAAATTCTAACTTTACTGATTTTGCATAATAAAAAATTAGTCTCAAAGCCCTTTTTTGTTGTGTGCTGACCCATATATTTTTAATAGTATTTTTTTCTTAGACAAATATTATGGGATGAGTGCTAAAAAAAGAGGGAAATTGACAAAAAAAAAGATCTTCGGTAAATCAATTTTTATATTATAAATTTTATACATAAGAAAATACAGATTTCAAAAAGCTATTCTACAGGATTTTATTAAGACAACTTATTTTGTGTTTTAAGTGAATTATAATTCTGCTCTTATTCTAAATTTATTTATGCAAAAATAGGTTTTGAAAAATTTGTTGATTTGCAGCACCTAGCCCATATAATACAATAAAAAAAATAATTTAATTTATCCTTTTTTTTATTGTATTACATGATTATTTAAAAATATCCGCAAGTGTGCGATGTTAAATGTTAAAGTTTTCGAACTGTAAAAAGATTACAGAGTACTAAGTGTTTAAATTCAGAACAAAAATTACTTGCATAAATATATATATCATTAATCAATTTTTATTCAATAGGGTAAAATAGGGCACCATGCACATATGCATCTTGTGCAAGCTAATTTTAAAACACGATTCCGAAATCAAAAGATTATAAAACCTTTACGTAAAGTTTTTTCCATCGAGTCCAATTCATACTCTAATGCATACATCCATTAATTCTATTCTCTTGTTTTTAATATTATTCACCAAATATGCAGTTTGCTACGCTCCTGGCGAACGATTTGAATTGGTAGCAGCAATTATAGCAAATAAATTATATTTTTGTGCCGGAGTTAAAACGGATTTTACTCCACAGAATGACCTTTTTTATATCGATCTGAATCAACAATTTGATGCTTCCGATCCACCATTTCAATTCCAGAATAATATAACAAGTACTCATGATGGTTCAGCAGTCGTTCATGAAAGCAAGATAGTCATTTTTGGTGGTGGACTTACTAATCGCATTATAATTATTGATGAACCATCCGGTCTTAGCAAAATAATTAGTAGCGATAACAGCTCAGCGTGGCCATCTCCAAGAAGATTCCCTACTGCTGTAATCGACTCTAAGAGTGCAAAAATGTATATTTGGGGAGGTACCGAAACAAATGGGTATGTATTTGTTTACATAAAGCTGTATAAATAATGTAAGACATTACTAATAGTGATAGTAAAAAAAAAAAAAAAAAAAAAAAAAAATGATAGCTCGTCAGATGGAACAATTTATTTCTTTGATATTCAAACCCAAATTTGGGAATCCTATGCAACATCCAATATGACGATTGGTCGTCAGATGAATACAGCGACTTTAATCCCCGATGGAAAAATAATTATGATTGGAGGCTGTTAGAGCTTGTACCCGTATAAGAGTTACTCGGGTAACCCGTATAAGGTCTGTTAACCGGGTCAACCTATTGCTAACCGGGTGACTCGGTTACTCATGATGGGGTTAACGGTGCATATATTACAACGCATATTATAGGTTAATTGCTCCTTATTTTATAAACGTGACCTTTGCAAAAATGTAACTACCTCTATAGCATGTACGTATGACTGGCTAATTGTCTGGGTAAACTTACTTTTTCTCGAAAGAATCTTGCTGTGCGAAAACGTCTACAATCAGGAAGTTGAGATGAATGATCTTAAGGAACTTTATACCTACCGCTTAATTAATATATATTTAAAACCCACAAGTATTTGTAATTTATTGCTGTTACTACCTATATAAATATTATATATTAGTGCCGCTAAGAGAAAACCTCGAACCGGGAATTTAAGTTTATTATTTATCAGACTTAACCACTAACAATTCATTAAAGGCTAAGTCTGATGAATAATAAATTTAAATTCCTGGTTCGAGATTTTCCCTTGGCGACACTCATATACTTGTACGTACAATAATATGCAAAGTTCGAGAAACTAAATGAGAAACAAGTGTTTTGGTGGGTCAGAAGGTGGTTCGGCAGCCCAAGCAATTGCGAGTGTGAAATCGGTATTTACTAGCCTACTTTCTTTTTACTGTATTCGTTAAAGTTAAATGAACTATGTTATGTAAAGTTAAATAACTTGTAAATATCTTTATTATCTTATTCCAGGGTTGTACAGCAACTTACAGAACGTTATTAGAAAGTATTAAAGTACATGTCGCGGATCTAATAATTTAAATAGTATATAACGGAACTAAATAATGTATTTATTGCAAAGTAAATAAATATTTATCACGAAATAAATAATGAATATATCACGAAATCTGAGTTAACGAAATTATATGAAACCTGAATTAATATATTACAAAGTTATTGTATGTGTTCTTAGCAAGAGTTGAATACTTTTTTTTACTCATTCGTGTATAACCGATGCACTATCCGGAGTTTAATCCGGGTACGATTTCGGGATATTTTAACAACCAATCAAAAGAGTCAGTGTCAAATGACCCGGGTTAACCGGGTCAACCGGGTTACTCGGGTTATTTTAAATAACCCGGTTTGTAACCCGGTAGTGATCTTGTAAACGGGTGAGTAACCCGGAGTAGAAATTTATAACGGGTACAAGCTCTATTAGGGAGTATATTAGCGTAGCAGTAATTTATGTAATATTATGAGCGATTAATAAAATTGGGACTTTATTATTCTTTTAAGCAAACGAGACAATCTTCTCGGGGCAATTAGGCCCTTTATTTATAATAAATTTTAATTATGACTTATTTTACTGAAGAAATTTCGCTTTTACATTTTATTTATTTAATCTAATTTTTTTAATCTACTTATTTAAACTATTATAATTATTAAACCCCTTTTCGCTATTAAATCCTTCTCTGAAATATTTAAGAAACCGATTTAATTCAATTAATTCAACTAATTGCCGGGATGTCTATATCAGGAGAGGATCATCATAGTTGCAAAAACGTGCTTAGCCGCAGCTTATTCTAAGTCACGTTATTGGACCTAATAGACTATTTCCACGTTAGTGATACAAAAAATGATTTTGCTATAAAAATATCAAAACAAATAAATTGTACAAATAGAATTAATTTAAACAAAACGAATTTTATTTGCATTAAATACAATTGTCCTTAAAACTATACGCACAGTACTTGAGAATTTTAATAATAATTTGCAAAATCTCTGGCAAACATGGATACTGCAGCACGAATTGTTGAAACTTCAGCTGAAATTTTAGCACTCTATAATTCAATAGTCGGCACAATAAATATTATAGCTAAAGAAATTTATAAAATTTACGAAAATGCCGAAAGTAATAAAGAAATTTGCTTAATTATGACTAATCGAGTAAATTCAGCAGAGTATCACATGAGCATGTTAATAAGAAATATTGAAGGAAATGAAGAAAGATTTCGTATAAAAGAATATCATTTGGCCTTTGAAAGATTTAAAAACCTTTTAATAAAATTAGAGAGTACACTAAAAAAGTGTCAACGTTTAAAGCTTTTAAACAATTTCTCAATGCGATGGAAGTTATAGTGATTGTACCCGGGTAAAGATTTTTGCTTGAATAACATAGTATTCATCCGGGTCAACCCGGGTATTTAATAATACCCGGGTAGTGATTTTCTCAACGGGTTCAAACTCTAGGAAGTTAAACGAAAATTTGATAAATTAATAGATGAGTATGATACATGTATGAAAGAATTGCAGTTTGTTATGATAATTACGAATGAAATCGAAAGAACTAATGAAAGAAAAGTCGAAAAGGCTCTAGAAAACACTGAAAAAGAAAGTAATATTATAATTTGAAGTTTTATATAATAAATTATTCTTTAAACTATATATAAATTGTTAATTAAAATAAAGTTAATTAATAATAGAAGTTAGAGTTGTATATCAAGAGTATAACTTCTACATAGATAACAAGTTTATATAATTTAAATATTAATGATTTTTCTTGAAACGTAATACAAGATAAAAACCAAATCTAAAAACAATAATTAAACCGATGAGTGCCAACTAATTTTAAAAAAATAAAATTAGTTATAACCTTGAAATTAAATATTAATAATGGTAATAAAAAAATTCATACCGCCCAAATCAAAATATTAATATCCGTGTAACCATAGCTATCCAAGACATCTTTACCAGTAAAATTCCCTTTGTTACCAGTTAAATCACCATAAATGCAATGATATTGTACTGGATTATTGGAGATTTTATCGCAATCAAAAGTCAAACCAATAAATTCATTTTGAATAATTCCTTCAAAAGCCCATTTTTGATAATCAATGTAATGAGCCCATTTCAAATAAATTGGAATTTCATTATTTCGTAAGAAACCTTCAACCATTACAAAGAAACCATTAGAGAAAGCAACTATGGCAAGTGAGGCTACAAAAATAGGGATGATTGATGAAATAAAAACGACCATTGATTCAGATACGTAAACAGCAAGGAAAAGAAGCACGTAATAAATGGTTGCGTTGGTAGCTCCGCCATTTAGACCAATCATTGGGTAAGCGAAGACCGCGAACGAAGTGGTAATAATCATTACAAATGGAATAGAAATTATTGTGTTTGCTAACACATAAGAACCAACTGAATAAAAATTATTTCCACGTTCACGTTGGAAAAGTAAACGTTCTTCCAAAAATCCAGGTATACCGGCAATGCTCATAAAAGAGAGAAAATTGATTGAAAAAAAATGTGCAGAGAAGCGATCTTGAATATCTTTTTGAGAAAAACCAATTTGCCACCAAATTGAACCCATCAACAAAGCTAGACAGATATACATAACGGCACGAATCCAAAACATTAAGATATTACACATAGCATTTTTAAATGAGCGTTTGGTTAAAAACCAGGTTTGGACAAAGAAGCTGCGGGCGTAACGACGAGTTGATTGAAAAGAGTATGAAGAGAAATTACTGTTATTAAAAGACTTTGTGATGCTACAAATCTCAGTTAATGTACTAGAATTTTCTTCGGATTGATTATAAGAATTAATGAAATTATTAATACACTTTTCTGTCTCAGTTTTATTCAGAATGAAGTCAAAGTTTATCACTCGGAGAAAGTGATCTGCAGGATTTGAATATTGAGGACACACATGACCTAAGCTCTCAAAGTAAGAAGTGGCATTTTTACGTTTACCGAAATATATCATATGACCTCTATCAATCAAGCATAATTTATCGAATAAAGAATAAGTTTCAGTTGATGGCTGATGAATACTAGCAATTACAGTCAATTTATGTCTTTGAGCCATCAAGACAATGGATTTCATAACATTATAGGCAGCAGCAGAATCAAGGCCGGTAGTTGGCTCATCCAAGAATATTATTTTTGGTAGGGTTACAACTTGTGATGCAATCAACGCACGCCGTTTTTCACCGCCTGAAACACCACGTACGAAAACTGTACCAATTTTACTGTCAGCAACATTATCTAAACCAAATTCTTCTATAATTTGTTGTACACGAGAATGTCTTTCTTCTGAACTCACATTGGAAGAGAAACTATATATGAATGATATACAGTATTTGCAAATGCATTATCTGTTTAATGTTATATTGATCAATGTATCATACATTGAGAACTTACCATAAGTCAGCAGCAAATTGAATATTTTCTTTTATAGTCAATACGCCTGTAATAATAATATATAAAAAAAAAAAACATTTTGTAAAATAAGATAAATAAAATGAAAATCTATTAACAAGGTTAATTACCCATTAGCGCATCATCTTGCATGACATATTGTGAGACGTATTTTACTTCACCCGCCCCTCCATTAAGTAAAATTTCCCCTGACATCATCTTTGGATCTTTTCTTCCTGCTAATAAATCTAGTAAGGTTGATTTACCTGCGCCAGATGGACCCATTACTATTCAAAAAATATATATATATCTACGATAAGATGTTTTCTAAAGTCATATGTTAAACGAATCAAAACATTTAAACATCACTTACTGGCCATAACTTCACCAGGTCGAACAACACCAGAACATCTATAAATTATATTTTGTTTTTGTTTGGTTTTTGGATTTATTATTTCATAGTTTATATCTTTCCATGCAAGGCTAATACCTTCGGAAAAATTATTTTCAGACTCTGCACATATAAAAGTGGAATAAATCATTTAGATTTAAAAAGAGTAAATATCATTTAGGCCGTTTTTAGTTGATTATTAGGTTAACGTCATCCCCCCCTCGCTTAACTGCCCTCCCCCCCCAAAAATTAAACAAGCCAATCATAAACTTCATTAATATGTGATTAATGTTGACCAATGAGATTTGATCAAAT